GAGAGAGAGAGAGAGAAAACTACAAGTATACGTGATGAATGTAGAAAGAAATGGAGGAGTGGGAAAGGAATGGGAGAGAGAAAGAGAAACAAATTGAGGAAACGATGGTATCTGATATAATAATGAATCAAACATTACTTTGTTATTTCCTTTTTACCGCTCAACTCTGGAGATGGTGCCAGATCAAAACTAACACTTTCCACACGCTATTCGTCCCTCAAATATAACATCAAAAGTAGAAATCTTGAACCCTTAGCTCAGAGATCAATCAGCAGTATGGTGCGTCCATGCCGTTGCCTTCAGGCGACACTAAACGCCATTCCCCTCGGACTGGCCCCCAGTAGTGGTCAGGAAGACCGCCAAGAGTCAGTCCATTATCTTCCCTATTACCGGGCAAATCCGCCGTGGCCACGTGCTCTTCAAATCCCGCCTTTCCCAAATCTCCAGGTTTGGTAGTGGCGACCACTCCCTGTCCATTACGTCCGCACACTCTTTCACTGGTCCCACGACTTGGCCAACATCGTCATTTCGTCTCTTCTTGGCGTCAGAGACGTGTGTACATAGTTCGACTTGGCAAACTGCAAACTTCTATTGGTCGGAGAAACGAAAAGTGGCGTGAACATGAAACATTGACAGACATTACGCTTGACAAGCAACAAGAAGGCGGGCTTACTTTCCAACTCTAGAAATTGCATGTGAAAAACTAAGCTCTTGCAAGAATTCAAATCACTGATAGACACATCTAGTTCATTTTGAAATCGCATTGTTGAAATTACGAAGATGTACAAAGGTATGAAAGTCTGATAAGTAAACAACAATACAAATATGTTTATTGAATTTACTAATTGCATTCTGTATAAATTAACAGACAATATAATGTATGTTTCCTTCACCCACCTCTATGGTGGAATCAGGAGTGTAGGAGGGAGAGGGTGTAGATCCAGGCTTAAGTCAACGCTATCGCCCCTCTTATCCACTCACGCCTCACGGCTTGAAGCCATCAGCGTACTCAGTTACTTCCCATGCCTCTGTTCGACTCTCAGTATGCTGAGTAAGCCAGGGGCAAGCAACTTCATCGAGAACCTTTTACCGTGGACTTTGGTCTTGCCACACTGTAGTAATCCGAGCTATTTTCTCCCTGATTGTGTTGAAGGACCTCGCGTCAATGGGCTGGTAGTAGGAGATGGCGGATGGTGGAGATGGCGGATGACAGAGATGGACACTGGTATGGTGGTATGAGGGGGGGGGGGGTGCTGCTGCTATCAGAAACTGTAGCTTTGTTAGATGTTTGCTATTTGATATGTTGTTTAATGGAGTAAACTGATCTTTGAAGAAGGTGAACAGGCGGCTCTATATATAAGCTTAATTTTCACGCAATTAACTGTTCTCCACTGCCCCAGGCGGCTCTCAATCTCAGCTTGTGAGAACCTTGTCGAAACAAAGTGAGTGACCAGGTTTTGGATTTCAACTGGAGAGTATCAAAATAAGATAAGATAAAGTACATCTTTATTTTCCAGATCTTGGCACATTGATTTGGTGTCTCATCACGTACACATATACACATATATACACACATACACACACAATATATATAAATGAACAGTAAAGATAGAGATCTAAACAACAATAATCTTAAGCTAGATACATACTCAATATTCTGACTGTAACTCAATGTTAAAGTATTATTGTAACTCAAAAGCCTCACAGTTTTCAGATACAACACACGTCTTGCACATCATGTAGCATATCAGATCTTGCAATTAAGAGTATAAAAGCCACTTCTTGGGAAATATATTTTGAATTTAAGTTTGTGTAAAAGAACAACGAATACAGTCAAGAGAGAATAGAAGAGAAAGCAAGAGAGACAGAGACCGACAAAAAGAGATTTAGAGACAGAGACAAAGAGAGAGGGAGAAAGAGAAAGAAAGAGAGAGAGAGAGAGAGAGAGAGAGAGAGAGAGAGAGAGAGAGGGGGGAGAAAGAGAGAGAGAGGTTGGAGGAGAGAGGGGAGAGACA